TCCCAGATCTTCGGCTCTGGGTGGCCGCTCGGGATGGCCGCGTTCGGCTCATGACGTCACACGAGCCGACTGGCAGCAAGCATGCATGTGCTGTGTACGTGTACATTCCAAATATATGATTGTGTGCATAGAATAATTTTTAGCTGCCGAAACCGACTTTGTTCGAGATTTCAGTTTACGTAAACGTGTGTGTGCCATGTATTCACACATACTGTGCTTGTGTGTGGGCTCTACAATTGTTTGCCGCTTGAATTGGTTTTTCGTTTTGTTTTGAGGGCTGATGTGATGTAGCGACCTATTCAGGGCCGGATCAACCCTCAACCGGGCCCTGGGCAACCATCAATCTGGGGCCCTCCTTTATTTTGTATTTTTCTCAGTGCACTATAGGCATATTTTGGCATTTTTACATTTTTTTATTAAATTGACCTATTTTCTGAATTAGAATACTTTAAGAATACTAAAACATATTTTTAATATTTTTTGGACTTCGTTGGTATTTTGTTATTTGTCAAAATTGAAAGACAATTTTGGCCACTCAACAAATCAAAATTGGCGCAAAAGCTTGTGATTTTTGGTGTGAATTTTCTTATGAAATTGTAAACAAAACAAAAAAGTTTAAACATGGAATTTAATCGTCAAAGTATGTAAAATAAACTATTAGCACTAACATGTAATATATTGTCCAATTGTTTAATGTGTTGTTGGTATGTTTTTATGTCCCTACTAACAAATGTATTTGTGTTTCTGTGGAGTGTAACTTGTGCATGGAGGACACTTGAGGTAATTCTAATGCTGAATGTTACTAATTAAACTGTTAACAATCAAATAGTGGATAACATTTTTGCCCGTTTTTGCCCGATTTACGGCAATACTCAATGTTTCAGATGCATTTACGTTTTGCCATTCAACGTTGCTTGATGTTTGGAGCGACAACAACCGCCAACAAGATGCTGTGAAGCAGTTTGTTTTGCAAAATATTGATGAAACTAAATTAAGTGATGTTCAGCAAAACTTAATAAAAGATAAACTTATGCAGTTTTTCGGATTTATAAACACTTATTTGCCAAAATGCAACAGAATGCTCGACCGCTTTAAAGAAAAAGCATGCGAAATGGCTTGCATCCTCGTTCAAAATTGAATTTCATAAGGATGATACTCCACGCGAAAAGCCTGGTCGCAAACGTTTGACCTATTCTGAGGGAGGACCAAGGTTAAAGCGAAAATTAGCATCTGAACTGGTCAATGAAACCGAAAATTCAATGCCACTGTTGTTGCATGCTGCTTCTGTATGGGCCCGCAACCATCGAAAAGGAATTTTTTGTTCATTTTTTTCATTTTTTAGGTTTGGTTAACGAATTTTAGCTCAAAAGTCTCTCCATAGATTTTAATGAGCGATACCTTGAACGACGCCAAATTAATGCACCTATACACAGAAAAATAGAGGACACAAGATATAATTTTTTTTCGACTTTTCCTGAGTTTTTAAAGTCAAAAGTTCGTAAAAAATACCGCACAAAAATCATCATGTTTGCATTTCAATGCTTTATATTTCCCAGACGGTAAGCTGTAATCACAAAGTTATTGGGCTTAACTTCTAGCTGTTTTAATTATCTTTTCAAAATAGCAAAGTTCTTTACAACCAGACGTAAGATACTAGAGCTATGTAAAAAAACAAGCGCTACCTCTGAAAAAAGCTTATAAAAAAAATACCAGTTTTCAAAAATTCTTCAAAAAAAAGTTCTGCCATAGAAAAAAAAAATATATCATCAAACCATTTCTAAGCCCCAAATCTTTAAGAAAAAGTTCGTTTTGTTCCTTGAGGAAAAATCGTGTTGACTAGTGTAATCTAACAAAACAACAATACATTAATATAAAAGCCATAAATAAGCTGCATGGATGCGATATTTATCCGCCGTATTCAGAAATTACAAAGATGAAATTAAAATGCAGACCAGAACAAGACAAAATAACTTATTCTGAAAAGAAAGTTGAAGTATCGCTGCAAAATTTATTAAATCATTCGGCTGACCGCATATTTGAAATGCAGAAAGACGTAATTGCTCATTCGCAAGGAACGCATTGCAAATTAATTGGCAGCTATGGGTTTGATGGGTCAACAGGACAAAGTATATATAAACAGCGATTTCACACAGAGAAGCCTGTTGGATTGGATCAATCACTGTTTGTAACAACAATAATTCCCTTAAAATTAATAGATTGCCAAAATCAAATTATTTGGTTAAATCCTTCTCCACAATCAGTCAGATTCTGCCGGCCTCTCAAAATGGAATTTATTAGGGAAACTACTGAACTCATTAAAAATGAAAAAAAAGAACTTGGACAAGCAAATAAAAAAACTTGAAGAGCACACATACAATTGCGAAAACCAAAAAATAGTAGTAAAATATGAAGCACATTTGACTTTAATAGATGGCAAAGTTTAAAATGTGTTAACTGGTACTAATTCATGCCAATCCTGCCCATTATGTGGTGCTAAGCCAAATCATCTTTTGAAGACAAAAAATATAGATTCAATAAACTTTCAGATCTCTACTGATAGCCTTAAATATGGAGTAAGCCCTTTGCATGCATGGATACGATTCTTCGAATTTGTGAAAGAAGAGAAAAAAAAAAGGGGGGGGGGGGGGGGGGGGGAAAAAGAAGAGGTGGTTTTGGGGGGGGGGGGGGAGGGCCCCCCCAAAATTTTTTTCACCATGAAGGATCTCTTAAAGGGGGGGGGGAAAGGGGGGGGAGGGAGCCCCCCCCCATTTTTTTTCCCAGAAGGTTTATTATTTACTAATCATTTTGTTATTATTATGTTTTATTTTCATTATTAGGTTAAGTGACGGCATTTGTTAGTAGTTAAGCTATGGCATTAATCAAAATTAGTTTAAGTACTTGCTCGGTCGTGACTTAGGGAGGGAAAAGCACAGTGATCGCTCGGGCATCACTGATAGCACTGATAAAAGCTCCAGAGTTGAGACATGAACCTCAACCACCAACATCAGTACAGAGTGGAGACACGAACCTCAACCAACCAACATCTGTACAGAGAGAGCGGGAGAGCAGAGAGCGAAAGCTCTACCACCAGCATCAGCACAGAGAGCGGGAGAGCAGAGAGCGAAAGCTCAATCACCAGCACCACAAGGGTGGGTTTATAAGATCGCAAGCACATGGAAAACGGGGGGAGATATATTCCAGACCAGCGAGCTGAACGGACGTGCCAGTGGAAGCAGCCAAGAAGACGAAGAAGAAGACAGATTTTGACGGCGAGCTAGGAAAGGGTGAGCAAGTCTCACCGTCGTGAGGAAGATGGCTGGCGAGCGGTGCGGTTAGGCAGGAGAAGAGGAAGAAGAAGAAGAAGAGATAAAATAAAAATGGAACTTAAATAACTACCAGCGCGTCTTCATCTGTCGATCGGTGCGTGTTTCCCCCCCTTGCCCTGTAGTTTTTCCAGAGGTGCCGCCCGGCGATTGCCCAGGCATCCTCTGCATCTATGTGTTTCTCCCCACGCGGGCGCTCTCCTTCCCCTTGCCCTGTAGTTTCCCCGGGTGCTGCCCCGCGACTGCCCAGGCATCCTCTGGCTATCTATGGCTGTTTCACTTCCCCCGCAGACCTGACCTCCCCAGCCGCCCGCACTGCCAGTACTTTGGGGGGCCTGCGCCTCTCTCCTCCCGCCCGAGCCACGGAGGGTCTCTGCGCCAACTCTCCTTCCCCTTGCCCTGTAGCTTCCCTTAGGTGCCGCCCGCGACTGCCCAGGCACTCTACAGAAGATCTCACCGTTCTACCCCCTTCGTACGTTTCCCTTGGCCTTGGCATCCCCGAGACGAAATCTCCGTCCCATGGCCACTCATGACTCGGAGTCCCGGCAAATTATATGGCTGTAATTTCGACCCTGGCTTGACTGAGAGTTATACCCCAGCCTAGATCGCATCCTTACAGATGGCGCCCGAGCAGGGACTCCGAGACTTCCGAGGTGTTTTGAGTGGCCAAGGGGTGTGTTAGTGAGCTAGAAGGGAAAGAACGGGGGGTTCCAGCCAGTTGAATCAGGTTCTTCCAGTGGCCGCGTGGCAGTCATGCCAGCGTGCCGGACGCGCAGCGGCGGGGTCGGTCGACGTTGATAGGAGTAGAATGATTGTATTGTCGCTGTCGTTGCTAACCGCACGTAAAGTTGCCCAAATTTTCACGTACGGTCGAGCCTGGCTTCCCTAACCTCTCGAGGCGCAGTCAGCAGCAGAGGCGCAGTCAGCAGCAGAGGCGCAGTCAGCAGCAGAAACACAGTCAGCAGCAGAGGCGAAGTCAGCAGCAGGGGTCAGCAGCGAACACAGTCAGCAGCAGAGGCATCAGCACGCAGTCAGCAGCAGCAGAAACACCAGTCAGCAGCAGAGACACAGTCAGCGGCAGAAACGCAGCCAGCGGCAGAGACGCAGTCAGCGGGAGGCCAAACACGGACTCGGACACCGAGCCAGAACCAGGCAGTCCAGTAGCAGCCTCACGGAGACACAACGCACAGTAAAGACCATCAATCGAGCACAAGGAGCAGCGACGACCAGGATCACCAGCAGACCAGCAACGATCAGGATAGCCAGAAGTCAGTAAGCAGCCTCAACTGGAGACACAACGCACACGGGACTAAAAGACCATCGAGCACAAGGAGCAGCGACGACCAGGAACACCAGCAGACCAGCAACGATCAGGATAGCCAGAAGTCAGTAAGCAGCCTCAACTGGAGACACAACGCACACGGGACTAAAAGACCATCGATCATGAATACAAGGAGCAGCGATTACAAAGGTCAGATGGGTTTACAGTGGATTTCCTATGGGAACATCAAGGCCATAATACAATGCGGGCGAGCATAGTTACAGTTGACTCGGGAAACCAGCCCGTTACAGCCGACAACGCCGCGCACCGTGACCTTCCGTGACGACCCTTCTCCACTCAAACCTTCTATAGCTAATGCTAGTTCCTGTACCAACCCCACAACTACCACTAGGACAATGACTACGACACAATTGGACCATTCTACGCCAAGCAACGCTCAATCCAGACCCCGCAGCCCAGACACAACAGGATTCGACCAAGCCAGACACAAGAATCACGGAACTTCGACGGAGACGACTGCGACACCGCTGGATGCACCCAGGGCCAGTCCGTCTGCCAGCAACGCAATGCCAGACACACACGGGAATCCGGGAAGAGACGCGACACCGCGGAGCCGGAGGAACACGGAGCGACTGACACCGCGGAGACCGGGCCAGCCGCGCCACACGCAGCCGACACACACGGAATCCGGGAACTCGACGGAGACGACTGCGACACCGCGCCAGGCAGCCCTGCCACAACAAGCCGACACACACGGGAATCCGGGAACTTCGACGGAGACGACTGCGACACCGCTGGATGCACCCAGGGCCAGTCCGTCTGCCAGCAACGCAATGCCAGACACACACAGGAATCCGGGAACTTCGACGGAGACGACTGCGACACCGCTGGATGCACCCAGGGCCAGTCCGTCTGCCAGCAACGCAATGCCAGACACACACAGGAATCCGGGAACTTCGACGGAGACGACTGCGACACCGCTGATGCACCAGGGCCAGTCCGTCTGCCAGCAACGCAATGCCAGACACACACAGGAATCCCGGAACTTCGACGGAGACGACTGCGACACCGCTGGATGCACCCAGGGCCAGTCCGTCTGCCGACAAATCAACGTCAGACGTAAGCAGGAGTAACGGGACTGCGGGGAAGACAACTACGACACCGCTGGGCACTCCAGGGCTAGTTCATACACCCACCAGTCCAATTTACACAACGCCAGAAACTTTGAAACTTCAGCGAAGGCGGCTGCGACACCGCTGGACACTACCAGGGCCAGTCGACCTACTCCGAAGACAATGCACGACGAACCAAACTGAGACGACACCGAAGACACCAGCATGATCACCGATCCACAAGGGCCACTTGCGGTAGCGCGCTGTCTTAACGTCTTCGCCCCAAAAGGGCAAATCCACAAGCCGTAAGCTGTCATACGTATATATCCCCTTAAGGGATTAGATTTAGAACCAATGTATTAACCTTCTCACCAGCACCGCTCAAGCAGGATAGGGGGAGGGTACCAATTTCATTCATATAAGACAGGCAGGTAGTAACCGCTAGGGGTTTACTCCTTAGGCGGACGAACATGAAGCGTCGACATAACGAGAGAGCGGGCCGACCCCTAGAAGCACGTGGAGACACAACCAGGCGTTCCAACGGAGGCAACAAGCAAGGGGCAGGACGGCCAACACGACGCGGGACAACGCTACAACAACCAGTCGTGGCTACACCCCATATGGACCATCGGGCTATCCAGTACCAGATTGCTTTCGAATGGAGCAAGAAGCCTTCGCCGACTACCAGCGAATCCCCCAGGACCAGCGATTGGCCGCCGTATCAGAATGGCTTGAGCAACAGCCGCCAGTGGTCCATAACGCAGAGGCAGAGAAAGGAGAGCAGGTTGACGACTGCTCCGCGACAGCTGGGGGCCGACGACCAACCACAGTCCACGAAGATCAAGACACGACCCCGCGTGGCCAGGGCCGTCTGGTTTCGACCCTTTCAGATGTCGAAAATACGCCAACACGCAACGCTGCCTCAAGTTGCAGCCCCGTTACCTCACCCCAGCCAGCCGATTGGGAACCCGACGGTTGGAGATTATGGGACCTAGTGAGCCCTCAACCGGATGACCCGCCCGGGAACGAGGAAGTAGTCGCAGGTCCCCGAGAGGAAGGTCCCCACTACTCGGATATATCCGAGTGTAGCGAGCAGGAAGCAGAGGCAGAAGAAGAGAGAGAGCCCGACGGCCGCTTCGCGACTAATGGCGTCCGACTACCCCCCAATCACAACGTCGCCGCCTTGAACCGTCGTTTGTTCGGGGCCTATGGTCCCGCTGTCGACGACGAAAACGTGACCACGGACACCGATGATCAGGACACGATCCTACGTAGTCAAGGCAGTCCGGTTTCCACCCTGATGGGCACGATCGACTCTGGCTACCAAGGAAGCACCGTTGCCCCAAGTGACAGTACCGTCACCTCGCCCCCGCCAGTCGATTGGGAATTCCCTCTTTGGGCAGAATGGGACCTGGTGAACCCCAGGCAGGCCGAATTCGGTGGAGAGAGAGCAGTCACAGAGCCCCAGGAAGAAGGCTCCCGCTACGCGGCCACAGCCGGACACAGCGACCCGGGAAAAGAAGCGGAGCTTCGTCACGACGCACCATCGCCAGAGTCTGACGTAGTGTCACTGATGAGCCTGAGCTTCGCACCCCAAGGTGACGCTCCATTGCTACCGCCAACCAGTGACACTCCCCCACCCGTAGCCCAAGAAGAGCTATTACCACCACTTTTCGGAGAAGAGCCGGCAGAATCGGACTGCAGCATTCCACTGTCGTTCGAGGAACATGCCGACTTACTGCAGCTAGTTCGACTCCACCCGGGAGTAGCGGTGGTACAGGACGAGGCAGGCTGGGCAGAAGCACCAGTGGAGTGGCGGATCAACACGTCGGACCGACAGTTGCCATTAGACCTGATCAGCAACATCACGGTCTATCTGCGCAAGGCCACGGCCCGGTCAGGGGTAAGGCGACTGGAGGTACACGACGGACACTGCTTCCGCATCAAAATAACGCGACGCCACGCTGTCACCGTTACTATTCGGACCCCCCGAAGTGAGGAGGGCGTGTGAAGGAGCAGACGCTCCCCCACATTATTTTTTCACCATGAAGGATCTCTTATTATTATTTACTATTATTTTGTTATTTTTATGTTTTATTTTCATTATTAGGTTAAGTGACGGCATTTGTTAGTAGTTAAGCTATGGCATTAATCAAAATTAGTTTAAGTACTTGCTCGGTCGTGACTTAGATAGGAGGGAAAAGCACAGTGATCGCTCGGGCATCACTGATAGCACTGATAAAAGCTCCAGAGTTGAGACATGAACCTCAACCACCAACATCAGTACAGAGTGGAGACACGAACCTCAACCAACCAACATCTGTACAGAGAGAGCGGGAGAGCAGAGAGCGAAAGCTCTACCACCAGCATCAGCACAGAGAGCGGGAGAGCAGAGAGCGAAAGCTCAATCACCAGCACCACAAGGGTGGGTTTATAAGATCGCAAGCACATGGAAAACGGGGGGAGATATATTCCAGACCAGCGAGCTGAACGGACGTGCCAGTGGAAGCAGCCAAGAAGACGAAGAAGAAGACAGATTTTGACGGCGAGCTAGGAAAGGGTGAGCAAGTCTCACCGTCGTGAGGAAGATGGCTGGCGAGCGGTGCGGTTAGGCAGGAGAAGAGGAAGAAGAAGAAGAAGAGATAAAATAAAAATGGAACTTAAATAACTACCAGCGCGTCTTCATCTGTCGATCGGTGCGTGTTTCCCCCCCTTGCCCAGTAGTTTTCCCAGAGGTGCCGCTTGGCGATTGCCCAGGCATCCTCTGTCGATCTGTGCATGTTTTCCTTCCCCTTACCCTATAGTTTCCCGGGGGTGCCGCCCGGCGACTGCCCAGGCATCCTCTGGCTATCTATGGCTGTTTCACTTCCCCCCGCAGACCTGTACCTTCCCCGAAGTGCCACCCGCGACTGCCCAGGTATCTTTGGGAGGGTCTCTGCGCCTACTCTCCTTCCCCTTACCCTGTTCCCCCAGCGACTGATGCCCAGGCATCCTCTGGCTATCTATGGCTGTTTCACTTCCCCCGCAGACCTGTACCTTCCCCGAAGTGCCGCCCGGCGACTGCCCAGGTATCTTTGGGAGGGTCTCTGCGCCTACTCTCCTTCCCCTTGCCCTGTAGTTTCCCCGGGGTGCTGCCCCGGCGACTGCCCAGGCATCCTCTGGCTATCTATGGCTGTTTCACTTCCCCCCGCAGACCTGTATCTTCCCCGAAGTGCCGCCCGGCGACTGCCCAGGTATCTTTGGGGAGGGTCTCTGCGCCTACTCTCCTTCCCCTGCCCTGTAGTTTCCCCGGGGTGCCGCCCGGCGACTGCCCAGGTATCTTCCGGAGAGTCTCTGCGCCAACTCTCCTTCCCCTTGCCCTGTAGCTTCCCTTAGGTGCCGCCCGGCGACTGCCCTGGCACTCCACAGAAGATCTCGACCGTGTATTTCGCACGTTTCCCTTGGCCTTGGCATCCCCGAGACGAAATCTCCGTCCCATGGCCACTCATGACTCGGAGTCCCGGCAAATTATAAATATGGCTGTAATTTCGACCCTGGCTTGACTGAGAGTTATACCCCAGCCTAGAACGCATCCTTACATTACGGAAACAAAATATTCAACGGAGATTGTGGGAGGCAATGGGTCTGAACGTAGACAATCCTAAGCAAAATGGAAGTGGCAATAGCAACGATGGAAATACCGCCAGAAGAGCTTTTTCAGATGTCAAAACTTTGGCAAAAATTTTACATTTTAACGAGACCATTTTGAAAAATGTTTATATCATTTTAATTGCCATATCTTGTGAGTATAAGGTATGCCCAGCAAAATTTAAAGACATATGTACAAAAACGTTTAACTTATACGTTAAAACTTATGAGTGGTATCCAATGCCTCCAACTGTGCACAAGGTATTGGTACATGGGCACCAAATTATGGAAACCTCCGTACTTCCTCTAGGAGCTCTCGGCGAAAATGCGTCAGAAGCGCGCAATAAATTATACAAACGCGATAGGCTATCTCATGCAAGGAAAAGCAGCCGCCTAAATACTATGTCAGACGTGTTTAACAGAGCATTAGATTCTTCTGACCCACTTCTATCTTTTATAAATCTGAAGGAACGCCAAAGCTTAAACCATAAAAAAAGGCTACCGACAGAAGTTTTAGCTCTTGTGAGGAATGATGTCCTCACACGCATGGACCCTAAGGGGTTAAGAGCTATCCCGGTGGCCGGATAACCGGATAACGGCGAATTGCCTGGGAGGGGCTCGCCCAAAGGAGGGGCAACGTAGAGAGCCGCGATCGGAGGGCGCTACCAGGGAGAGCAAAGGAGCGCGGAAGAGAGGCGGGACAATGGGATCGGGCCGGCAGTGGTCCAGCGCATGACCTTTTATGGACATGCGATCACGCCACCAGCTGGGTCCCGTTGCCAAGCAAGTGGAAGGCAGAAGAGAGGCGGGATAGTGGGATCGGGCCGGCAGTGGTCCAGCGCATGACCATTTATGGCCATGCGATCACGCCACCGGTTGGGTCCCGTTACGAAGCAGGTGGAGAGCATCGGACGAGCCGATGGAAAATAACGCCGACGACTGGAGGGAAGTCCCGTTGTTGCCAGGCAGCGACGAGGCGGCCGTGCGCCAAGGAGGAAATAAAAGGAGGCGCGCGACTTCGGCTCGGGACAGTCAAGTGCGGAGAGTGCAAGTGCGTGTGACAGCGAATATCGAAGAGAGTCAGAAAGTTACCCAAAAAGCATCAAGAGAAAGGACCTGGTGTACCGCTCGCGCAACGGAAGGATCCAGTGAGAGCGAACGTGTCGTGTGCGAACCGAGTACGGCGGACTTGGGCTTAGCGCTAAGAGTCGTTGTCGTACTGGTTCTCAGAGCCGACAGTGCCACGCTTGGGGATCCCGAGGAACGGCGAGTGGGCAAGAAGGACAAAACGTGACAGTGAAAGCGTCAAGAGGAAGGAACTCGTGTACCGCTCGCGCAACGGAAGGATCCAGTGAGAGCGAACGTGTCGTGTGCGAACTGAGTACGGCGGACTTGGGCTTAGCGCCAAGAGTCGTTGTCGTACCAGTTCTCAGAGCCGACAGTGCCACGCTTGGGGATCCCGAGGAACGGCGAGTGGGCGAGAAGGACCAAACGTGACGGTGATCCCAGTGCTAAACCAAAGAATAGACTAAGTTGTCGTCCTTAAGCGTACTTCCTAAGATACTAATAAAGAACTCGTGTGTAAAGAAGCCAACCAAGTCTTTCTGCTTTGTCCCCCGGGCAACACCCAAATTCGTTGCAGCGAACCCACCGGCCGCTGAGTACGCCAAGTGCACACAAGGCGGACCAAACCGGTTCGTTACAACTGGCGCCCAACGTGGGGCCTGGTGACAAAGTAAGATCGATTTAGGGAGGGCAGTGCCGAGTTCGAAAGGAAGAAATGGGGAGACGACAATGGATCCACGCGATGAGGAAGGAGGACCTGGTTCAGTGTGGCCTAGCCTTTGGACTGCAGCTGGAAGGTACGCTATCCGAGATGCGCCGGGCATTCAAAGACTGGGTGGAGAAACACGAAGAGGAACCAGAATACGCAGATCTGATCGAAGAATGGGAGTTGCGCGCGGGCAGAACGACGCCCACGCCCCAGATGGAGGAAAAGCAGGAGGCGTACGAACGCTTGGCCATACCCGGCGGAACAGGACAGTCGGGAGTATGGAAGCTACCGGCAGAGGCCGCGGAGGAACTCATCGCCAGTCTGGCCGTGCCACAGAAGGGTCGATCTCCTAGCCGGCAGCGGACAGAAAGCCGAGAGAGGACGGCCATCCCAGCTCCCTCAGGCCAACGGGAGTCAAGGGGCTTTGCTGTCCCGTCGAATCGGAACGACCACTCTCTCACCTGTTTGGCCACGTGCGCATAGCTTGCTCGCAGCTGCTCGAGAGGGATGGTCGATGCAGAAGAGTGGAAAGGCACTTACCATCACCCATTGACAAATTCCTCGTTGCGGAAGTGGAGTACGCACGCGGCCAAGAGAGTGATATCGAGTGGGACAGGAATTCATCCCTACGTCATATCGATGGCCGGTATGCAGCCCTGTGATAGTCGCACGCGCGTGCGCGTTTCACCGATCCGGCCGCACCCCATCAGGTAAGCCCGGCAGGGGGCGCGTCAGAACGCGCCCGGTCCAGCAGAGGGCGCCAGAACGTGCCTGGGCCGGCAGAGGGCGCCAGAACCCGCCCGGTGTAAAGGCGCGGGCGGCCGTTGAAATTCAAACTTTAACGGCCGGGTTTACGAGAGGTCGCAGAGGGGAATCTTTCGTTGGGGAAGAAAGGGGGAAGTGTGAGGAATGATGTCCTCACACGCATGGTACCCTAAGGGGTTAAGAGCTATCCCGGTGGCCGGATAACCGGATAACGGCGAATTGCCTGGGAGGGGCTCGCCCAAAGGAGGGGCAACGTAGAGAGCCGAGGCCCGGCCACGGCAGAAGAAGAGTGGCAGGAGCGGCTACGTCGGGCGGAAGAGGAGGAGGAGGGCCTGTGGCAGCCTTCCCCTACAACGCCGGAGCCCGAAGACCGTGGCCAGGCCGAGCCGGAGGAGGAGGAGGAGCTGTGGCAGCGACGACCGCGGACCGAGGAGGAGGCGAGGTTTCCCGAAGGAGGAAGGGGGCCCCAAGCCTCGTCCCAGCAACAGCGGCCGGGAGCGGACGCCTCGTGGCAGCAGCAGCAACACCAGTGGCAGGGACCACAAGGCGCGGTGATCGGGCCGTACGTAACGCAGGAGGTGCGGACGGCGGTCCGGGGAGGAATGGTGTGGCACCACCAAATCCTCCACATCACCTGGGCGTCGGGGCCGGCACCTAGGGAGCCGGAGGCTCCGGAAGAAGCGCGGGTCTGGGAGGAGACGCCAGTCCGACGGAGCAATGGCCGCGACCCAAGGGGGCGGTCGGCGGCAGCGGAGCCAGCAGCGGAACCGGCAGCGGCGAGCGCGACGACAGAGTCGGCGGCGGCAGCGGAGCCAGCAGCGGAACCGGCAGCGGCGAGCGCGACGACAGAGTCGGCGGCGGCAGCGGAGCCCACTGTGGAACCAGCAACGCCGGGCGCGGCGGCAAAGTCGGCGGCGGCAGCGGAGCCGGCAGTGGAACCAGCAACGCAAAACGCGGCGGCAAAGTCGGCGGCGGCAGCGGAGCACACGGGGGAACCGAAGGAGGCCACGGCGGTAGCAGAGCCAGCAGCGGAACCAGCAACGGCGAGCGCAGCGGCAAACGCGACGGCGAAGTCGGCGGCGGCAGCGGAGCCCACGATGGAACCAGCAGAGGCGACGGCGGCAGAGGAGCCAACGACGCCAAGCGCGACGGCAGCGGAACCAGCAGCGCCGGGCGCAGCGGCAGAGTCGGCGGCGGCAGAGACAGCGGAGCCAGCAACGGCGAGCGCAGCGGCAGAGGCGATGGCGGCAGCGGAGCCAGCGACGGCAAGCGCAGCGACGACGGCAGCGAAGGCGGCAGCGGAGCCAGCCGCGAGCACGGCGGGAGTTTGCTCACCTGAGCCATGGGAGCGGGGTCCGTGGCAGTGGCCCGCGCCGGAAGCCAGGCGCGCCAATCCAAGGCCGGAGCGGCAGGTGTCGTGTCCGGAGGAGCGGGAGAGACCGCGGGCACCCATGCAGCGCCAGGCGTCGTGGCCGCAGGCACAGCGAGGGGCGGAGGGCCCACGCTGGCGGCCCGTGAGACGGGAGGAGTGGCCAGGGGCGGTGGAGCGCGTCCTGGCTCGAACGCGGTTCACCTCGAGGCGCATCAAGCGTCTGGTGAACGACGGAGGGGTCCGGTACCGGGTAACGGTGTCCCGGGACCACCAGGAGGTCTGCCGAGAATCTGGGGCTTGGTAAATAAACAGAGATCATGATAAGAAAAAAGGAAAATAAAAGGAGAACACAAACGTGAAGCGGACTTACGGGGAATAAGGGGAGGTCACCGCGAGACGTTGGCAGAGCGGCGGCAGAGGCCGACGAGACACGGCCGAGATGAATAGGGCTGCCGATGCCGCACGGTGGTCAATGCGCTGGTGAAGGCGAGCAATCGGTGCCGGGGTCTAAAGGAGGGGAAGTGAGAGGGATGGTCGATGCAGAAGAGTGGAAAGGCACTTACCATCACCCATTGACAAATTCCTCGTTGCGGAAGTGGAGTACGCACGCGGCCAAGAGAGTGATATCGAGTGGGACAGGAATTCATCCCTACGTCATATCGATGGCCGGTATGCAGCCCTGTGATAGTCGCACGCGCGTGCGCGTTTCACCGATCCGGCAGCACCCCATCAGGTAAGCCCGGCAGGGGGCGCGTCAGAACGCGCCCGGTCCAGCAGAGGGCGCCAGAACGTGCCTGGGCCGGCAGAGGGCGCCAGAACCCGCCCGGTGTAAAGGCGCGGGCGGCCGTTGAAATTCAAACTTTAACGGCCGGGTTTACGAGAGGTCGCAGAGGGGAATCTTTCGTTGGGGAAGAAAGGGGGAAGTGTGAGGAATGATGTCCTCACACGCATGGACCCTAAGGGGTTAAGAGCTATCCCGGTGGCCGGATAACCGGATAACGGCGAATTGCCTGGGAGGGGCTCGCCCAAAGGAGGGGCAACGTAGAGAGCCGCGATCGGAGGGCGCTACCAGGGAGAGCAAAGGAGCGCGGAAGAGAGGCGGGACAATGGGATCGGGCCGGCAGTGGTCCAGCGCATGACCTTTTATGGACATGCGATCACGCCACCAGCTGGGTCCCGTTGCCAAGCAAGTGGAAGGCAGAAGAGAGGCGGGATAGTGGGATCGGGCCGGCAGTGGTCCAGCGCATGACCATTTATGGCCATGCGATCACGCCACCGGTTGGGTCCCGTTACGAAGCAGGTGGAGAGCATCGGACGAGCCGATGGAAAATAACGCCGACGACTGGAGGGAAGTCCCGTTGTTGCCAGGCAGCGACGAGGCGGCCGTGCGCCAAGGAGGAAATAAAAGGAGGCGCGCGACTTCGGCTCGGGACAGTCAAGTGCGGAGAGTGCAAGTGCGTGTGACAGCGAATATCGAAGAGAGTCAGAAAGTTACCCAAAAAGCATCAAGAGAAAGGACCTGGTGTACCGCTCGCGCAACGGAAGGATCCAGTGAGAGCGAACGTGTCGTGTGCGAACCGAGTACGGCGGACTTGGGCTTAGCGCTAAGAGTCGTTGTCGTACTGGTTCTCAGAGCCGACAGTGCCACGCTTGGGGATCCCGAGGAACGGCGAGTGGGCAAGAAGGACAAAACGTGACAGTGAAAGCGTCAAGAGGAAGGAACTCGTGTACCGCTCGCGCAACGGAAGGATCCAGTGAGAGCGAACGTGTCGTGTGCGAACTGAGTACGGCGGACTTGGGCTTAGCGCCAAGAGTCGTTGTCGTACCAGTTCTCAGAGCCGACAGTGCCACGCTTGGGGATCCCGAGGAACGGCGAGTGGGCGAGAAGGACCAAACGTGACGGTGATCCCAGTGCTAAACCAAAGAACAGACTAAGTTGTCGTCCTTAAGCGTACTTCCTAAGATACTAATAAAGAACTCGTGTGTAAAGAAGCCAACCAAGTCTTTCTGCTTTGTCCCCCAGGCAACACCCAAATTCGTTGCAGCGAACCCACCGGCCGCTGAGTACGCCAAGTGCACACAAGGCGGACCAAACCGGTTCGTTACACTCTTTTGGAATCTCCTGATATTGAGCTTTCAACAACAAAAGCATGTAAAGACAATAATAATAATCAGATAGAAGAAAACGGAGATGATGAAATCAAGGGCGGCGGGGGGGGACCGGTATCAAGGTATGGCGTCACAAAACTTAATATTGGGCTTCAACTAATGTTTGATTTAATTTTGCAGGGATCCAAATCAACTTTAAAATAGGAATTGCTAAAAATGCATTATTAAAAATTCATTTATTGCGTATTCCTTATATATATTAACTTAAAATATTTTAAAACATAATTGTAGACAAAAATTTGAAAATTTTAACCATGTGGTGAGGGTGGGCGGGAAGGAAGGCGTGGTCCAACTGAAAAAAACAAATAAATCCGAAATTCTACCTTTATTTTTTAAGTATATGTACAAAGTTTCATGTTTCTATCTTCAAAATTGGTAATGATGCCAAAAAAACGGACTTTTTGCCCATAGTGCAGTGGCTATTATATTTTTTATCCATTATTTGGAGTTTTGTTTTTTCAACAAATTTTTCTGTTAGCCCTAGGGGGGCCCTCGGCAACTGCCAATCCGGCCTTGGACCTATTCCCGTCGTCTGACTTCATATTTCGTTTGCGTATTCTGTCGCTCGACTCGACGCGGGTGAGGCATTGACGAAGCCGAAAGCAGAGGCAAAGGCTAGCCTAAAAAAAATGGAAGAAATACCCCGCGCGCCCGTCGCAACATCAGCTTTTCAAAACAAAACGAAAAAATATTTTATGAACGCTTTGAATAAATGTACACATCTAGTAGAACATTTTCCAGAGCTTTAGCGAGTCTAATTTTCAAGATAATTTTAGTTTAGGAGATATGAGCAGAGATAACAACCTTTATTTTTATATATTGTATTTATTTCCCATCCCCACCCACTCTGCCCATTCCTCATTTATGTTGCGGCAGATCAGCTCAGGTCGCTACATCAGCCCTCACAACAAAACGAAACGAGAAGGAACGTGCGAGTCGCTTCTGGGGACGCGACTCTACTTGTACCCGTACTCAGTCAGTATATACATTTTTAAGCATATAATTTATTAAAATTTTGGAATAAAAAAAAAAATTTTACATTTTGCATTTTTTTTGCTACATATGTTATCTACATCTACATCTACAATGTATATTCTACATCTAACATGTAGATTATAGATGTTCCATATAGATTCTACATCTCCTCCTCTAGGGGTTGCTCGCGCACTGAACGCGGCAGAGTGTGTGGGCGAGAAGGAAAATGAGTTGCGTTGTTGTTGGCAGGAGGGGGCAGGGGAAGCAACAGAAAATTAATTCTGGCTATAATTATGATCCGATCTAATTCAGATTCGGCAGTCTGGTAGATATGGGCATTCTCTACGATACTGCGTTTTTAGTTTTATCGTATCTTTAAAAATGTGGGGGCGGGGCGAAATTTCGAAATACACTTGTAGCAGTGGGATATCACATGAGTCTGGAAACCAAATTTGGTTGCCCTAGCTCTTATAGTCTCTGAGATCTAGGCGCTCATCGGGACGGACAGACAGACAGACAGACGGATAGACAGACATGGCTATATCGACTCGGCTATTGATGCTGATCATGAATATATATACTTTATGGGGTCGGAAACGTTTCCTTCTCTGCGTTACACACATCCACTTTTACCACAAATCTAATATACCCTTTAACTCTTTTTTGAGTACGGGTATAACAAATACATGAAGTTGCCAGATACTTCAAAAAAGATCAAATATTCGAAATGAACAGTTAATTGGATCTATTTGCAATCAAAGCAAAAAAGGGAAAACAAAAAGAACAGAATGGAGGCAATAAGGGAGTATTTCTTAAAAAGCGAAAATTTTGGGCACCGTCCTGCCGATATTGAATCCGCAATACGGTTTGTTAATTCTGAATACAGGCACACACAGGGGTGTACAGTAGAAAACGTAGAGATATTGCGTACATTCTCGCCGTTCTTCGTCACATACGACGAACTGCACGTGAGACAGTTTGAAACAGGTGTAAGTATGATGTTATTTAAGCATGTTGCAATTTACTATCCAAAATATGTTTTCCAAAATAGCGTGGCATTCCTTCCAAAATTAAAATGCTGGTAATTGCGGCCCATACTGCTGAGCTGGACAGCCGTTTTGCAGTGCTCCACATTGCGGTGGTAAGTGAAAGCAATTTCATGTCTGGAAAAGTGTATAAAAATATTTGTATTTAACAGGCAGTCACAGAAGACACGACCATGGGCAAGGACAAGATACAGCTCCATGTGCAACGTGTGCTGGACCACATAGGAGGCATGAAGGAGAATGGTATAACCTTTTCCAAAAAAGTACTAGGGGTCATCAGCGACGGCAATGCTGCAAATGCAAAAGCAGAATTTCACACATACCACTACGCGCATTTGCCGGTGCTGCGGGACTATATACATCTAAAAAATAATTTGGCAGAGCGGTACCGCTATACAGACCGAGTATTGCGGAGGGTATATATGAGGAGCATATTCAAGAAGAGTACTTGGCAATCGGTGTTGGACCAGGCAGATGCGGCTGCAGCGCTGTCTCCTCACCGGGAGTACAAGGAGAGGCAGTTAGCCAACTTACGATTGGTTCTGGAAAAGTTTTTCGGACTGTGCCCATCGGACCAAATCAGCCTGCACAATGTCAATACGGATGAGTTGGAGGTATTCCAAACATGCCTGCAGGGAGAGATTAGCTTGCTGGCAGCCGGGTACGTACCGGAGCTTCGGAACAGAGAGACAGCGCCAATATTTCTGGCCCAATTTGCAGGAGTGTATATGAAGCTGCAAGACATTAGGTAGTATTAGTTAGTAGTTAGGTAGTTAGGTAGTTTTAATCCAAATAAATAAACTCAAAAATTTATGAACATGATATTGTTTATTGGTGTGATTGATTATGCTTGATTGATTATGATTATTGCTCGGCCTCGGCCTCAGCCTCGGCGCGGGCCACCTGCACAGCCCAACGCTCATGGGACACAGGCTCATCATCGTCAGGACGGGCATGGATGAGTCGAGCTGCTTGGATGACAGGGGCGGCGGCTCGGACGACTGGAGCGGCTTGGATGACAGGGGCGGCGGCTCGGACGACTGGGGCGGCTTGGATGACAGGGGCGGCGGCTCGGACGACTGGGGCGGCATCCTCGGCAGGGACGCGTCCACCA